CCTTCTAATGAGATCCATTTTAGAGCAATTTGTAGTGGTAGTGAGGAACTATCTAGTTCCTTTGGTCTCAGGGTTGTGGAGACTGATGTTTGTGTGGTCCATTAGTCCACTGGACTAATTGTTTACAAATGTCTGGAATATCAATTCTTCACATTGTTTGTCATGATCTACATAGTTGAAAGGCTTAGAATACTCAACAAAACATCTTTCCTTTTTCTCTTGTTTCAGCCAGATTCATCTGCCATCAGCAATGATATCGCTTGTTCTGTGTCCTCTTCTTTGCCAAGCTTGGATTATTTCCCAAACATTACTGAATGGATTCAACATTGGAAACAGTCACTCGTCTATGCCAAAAAATTTGGAAGAGCTGACAAACCAATGGAATTGTGTGTTCATTTAAAAGAACTTGTTAACACACTTTTCTTTATATTACAGGGGGGTAAAATTTTGCTAAAGATAATTTTTAAAATGATTATAGCTCCACAAAAGGACTCATGGCATGGCATTGTAGTATTAGCATTGGACTGTGAACCACAAGTTCAGTGGTTCTAACCCACTAGCTGCTCCTTGGAAACCTTTTACTGCATCACTGTTAGTTAGAATCGACTGGATGGTACTTCAAAACAACAACAACTCCCCCAAAAAAGTATTAAGTCATGTAGTCTGTTGATTTTTTCTTGTTCTTCTTTTTTGGCTTACTATCTTTGTTGGTGTTTATATAGACTTTCTACATTAATTGAAATAAAACAAAACAAAACCTAAATGCTAGCTTCCTTTAATTTTCTATATGAGCCAGAGTTGTTGGCATTAGATATAACCACTCTTAACAGTTACTTTGTTGAGTGCGGTTGAGTTGGTTCCGACTCACTGCAAACCTGAATAGGGTTGAGGAGTAGCTGGTGAGGTTGAACTGCAGTGGAAACTGACCTTGCAGTCTAGCATATTAACTCGCAGCACCACACCAGGACTCCTTGACAGACCTCGTAGGTTGTACCCTTAAATTATCTAGGGAGAAGGAATGAGAGATGGTGGTGACAACTTTTCTATTTCTATTAGATATTTGGTCAGTTCAAGTTGTCTTTCTTTCAAGGTCAGATTTGATCATTTATATGTACTAAGCTCTGGTAGCGTAGTGGTTATGAATTGGGCTGTGAACCTTAAGGTCAACTGTTTGAAACTACTAGCTGTTCTACAGGAGAAAGATGATGTTTTCTACTCTAGGTAAAGATTTACAGCCTCGGGAACCCTGTACAGGGTCGCTATGAAGCGACTCTACGGCACATCACCACCACCACCAAGGATTCCTGGTGTGGCGCTGTGGATTAATGTGCTTGACTGCAAGGTCGCTTTGAACAGAACGGTTGTTCAAGCTTACCAGCTGCTTCTTGGAAACTCTATACAGGGTTGCTATGATCGGAATCGACTTGACAGCACTCAACAACAAAGGAGACTTGGTTCAAGCTCACCAGCTGATCCTTGGAAACCCTATACAGTGTCGCTATGAGTGAGAAGCGACTCGACAGCTCTTGACAACAAGGACAACAAGCAATCATTCAGCTTTTCTATTTAACTATATATACTTCTTTTTGTTTCCTTTGTATCTGTACTTATTTTTTTTCATTCTAATGCCTTATTTTTTATAATTTTTCTTGCTTAGTCCAGTCAATAATTTCCCAAAGTGTTTAAAAGAATCCCCCATTTTATAATTCATTAATTTCCAACTCTAACTTTGTTAATTTATTGTGCTATATTTAACCTGTTTCCTTTCTCTATCTGTTTGAGTTTGATACCTAATTTATTTTAATTGTTTCCTATTTACAAAAAGCACATGTTTAACTCAGAGAAGCTATGGTCTTAATCCATAAGTAAAGGAATATGTGGTATTTTAATACCTTTACACTACATATGTTTTGTAATTTGTATTTTGATTTCTCTTTGAATCGAAGCATTTAAGAGAGAAACATTTAAAATATTTTAGATGTGGATTTTTTGTTGATGTTCTATTATCTTCTGGGTTTGGTTATTAATTTCTCACTTGACTACTTTGAGTTCAGTTATCTGTGTATATTTTATATGTTGGGATTGATTTGGTGGTCTAATAACATGATGAAATTTTACAAATAGTCTATTTACACTTACAAATTTAGATTTTGTTTCCAGAATATGGAACTTGCTTATTTTAATCACTTCATCTTATTAATCAAGCTGTTTGGGTTTTCTTTGTGCTCATTATTTTTATTTTTTATTTAGTTTATCTTGATCTGAGATAGGTGAACCTTTTACTAACCATGTGGTAAGTATTTTTTCTATTTCTACTTTTATTTCTTATGGGTTTTTATGTGTTATCTTAAATTTTTCAAGTAGCAATACTCATTACAGCTTGACTGAAATTTGTTACATATATTAATATGAAGGCTAGATTATTTCATGTAATGTTGTTGAGTGCAAAGTCAATTCTCATTTAATATTATTTTCCCTGAATTTAAATTTGTCTAATTTTCAAATGATGCTCTCAATTTTTATTCCATTTGCTTGAATGACCTTTGATGATTGAAAATTTTTTATTTTCACTCTATACTGCCTTTTGAATTTTAAAAGCTAACCAGACCCTGTCAAACTCATGATTAAAATCACTCAATGACTTCCCTTAGTATTGTTGTTGTTGTTATGTGCCATGGAGTCGGTTCTGACTCATAGTGACCCTGTACAGGGTTTCCAAGGCTGCACATCTTTACAGGAACAGAAAGCCTCATTTTTCTCCCGTGGAACAGCTGGTTTCGAACTGCTTACCTTGAGGCTCGCAACTCAATTCGTAACCACTACGCTACCGGAGCTCCTTTCCCTTAGTTATTCCACAAGAATATAGTTATTTCACTAGAATAACCTAGCTCCTTACTCTTGAGTGCAAGGGTCGCACTATTCTCTAGTCTCTTCGAACTCCTAACTCTCCCCTGCTCTCCATGCCCTATAGGTATTTGCAGTAACCTGAGTTCTTTATCTCCACAAAGCTTTTCCAATATTTGGAACCCTGCTCCCTGCACTCTTTGGTTATTATATCATTCGGGTTCTTCACGTCTTGAATCAAATCTCATCTTTTCAGAGAGATCTTCTCTGATCCCCGGAGTTAACACTGCAAACGACACCCTCCTACCTGCAAACTCTTAAATATCAACTATGTTTCCCTCTTAGAATTTGTCTCTTCTGTATTATTTTTTATTTATGTGCATATTTATTAGAAACTCCCCTGTGGCTATCATCTACACCAGGCACATCAAGAAGGAAGTATAGAAGGAAAGAAGAAAATCTATGAGTCATTTTGTTGTCTTTTCATCCTTTCAAAAAAAATACTTGCTTGGGGGCACTTGAGAATCTCAAATATCTTACAATGCTAGAATATTTATTTTAATCTATCTTTTTCACACATTTCTTCTGGTGTTAGAGCACACTTAATTTATCATCAAAGTAGTTTTGGTTGGTATGTAATTGATGTGTACCCCTCCCTTTCCTCCTCTTTATAGAGCAATTTACCTTATTTATTTATGTGCATATTTATTATGCTGATATAACACATTACAACGCTACATGGATGTTATAAACTCATTTCTGCCACAACCAATGACCTCTAATACTTTATTCCAGATTTTATCCTTGCACAATCAAATATGAGTTGAACACTCAAAGGCATCTTAACAAAGACATTCTTAATATAGTCCGGGGGAATCACAGTATCTTTATCATACAGGTCATGCCCACAGGAACTTCAAGAGAAGAGATAAAAGTCTTAAAGGGCAGAAAAAGGCACATTCCTAGAAGATAGAAGAGTACCTGAAGTTTTAATGAAAATATTTGAAATTATATATTTGTAAGTCTTCAAAATTGATTGATGAACAGGCTGGCTGACAAGCATGGTTAAACATTCAACTCCAGCCTAAAAGTTGGTGGTTAAAGCCCACCCAGATTTGCCTTGGATGGTCACAGTTTTGCAAACTCTGTGGAACAGTTCAACTTTACACACATGGGTTTCTTCAGGAGTTAGAATCAACTCCACAGCACCAAACCAAAAATTACATGAAGAATTAAGTAACATGTACTAGAAAAGAAAAGAGCAATGACTTTAATAATTGTAAGATGCAAAAGCAGAGGATAATTTTGAGATCAAATACACCTACTTCCACCACACTACCATAGGATGGCAGCAAACCCCTAATTATAGTTCCCTTTTCTTTTATATTTCAAATCAAACTATATTACTTAAATAATAATCTGTGCAATATTTATTTGTGGGGCACCTGTTAGTTTTAGATAATGAAAATGCAAATTTTGCCCTGACATAGTCTTTTCTTTTAAGGAACACACACTGCACAGAAGGTGACAGGCACATGCCCAGATAATAGTCATAACATAGGGTAAGTGTTCAGTGACTTTTACAGAAGCATAGATGAGGAGTTCTTACCCTAATTTTGGGATAAGGTCAGATTTCTCTGAGCAGCTGATTACTGAACTGAGTTTTAATCAGCTCTAGCTATGGTAGTGTAGTGGTTACGAATCGTGTTGCTAACCTTAAGGTCAGCAGTTTGAAACTACCAGCCATTCCATGGGACAAAGATGAGGCTTTCTGCTCCCGTAAAGATTTACAGCCTTGAAAACCCTGTACAGGGTTGCTATGAGTTGGAACCAACTCCACGGCACATAACCACCACCACCACATGCAGAGTATCCATGTAAGTAAGTACAGGGGAACAAAATACACAAAACTTCTGCCCTAATAAAGATTGCCTTCTAGTGACAATAACTATATAATATCAGCTAATTATATTCACACTAAAGAAAAAACAAATCAGGGAAATGGGTGGAGAGTGGTTGAAATAGGATACGGAGTTTGGCAGTTAGTAAAACTTTAGCTGAGGTCACCAGGGGATAGCAGATGTTTATCTGGGAGACAAAATTATGTACATTGGCTGTAATCATACTTACAAAACTAACAAGGAACATTCACTTACCAGCACTTGCCCCACAAAAGTCTGTGCTGAAAGCAACATTTGTATCCGATCATGAAAGATTCCCTGGAAATGGTATCTTTTTAAACGCCTGCTGTTGATGCTTTTATTTCTGAGTAGTTCCTATAAGCAATAGAAATAAATTGAGAGAGTGAGCTGGATCTCAGAGAAAGAAATATCTCATTTGTGTAGATGGAGCTTCTTGCTGGGAAATTGCTCCACCTTATTCCATCCAAGGAAACTTGAAGTTGCTTATTCGATATTCCATAAAATAAAATTTACGGGGCTTGCATTTTACTGTGTGGCTTTGTAAGTCTGAATTCCATGGTTTTCATATTCATTGTGTTTTGCTCACGTGTTCTCAGCCCCAGACCCTTCAAATTGACATTATTGGACTAATCAGGGTTGAGAGCAGCATGCTGCCTTCTGCTCTGGGCATATGTGTCTTAACATTTTCTCTTAAAATGTAATGACCAAGAAAAAAGATAAATGGATTTTTACATGATAAGTTAAGCTTCTCTTTTGTTAAGGGAATAATAGAGAAGAAACAGTTGTAGTCGTTGTACATTGCATTTGATTCCTGATCTTTTATCATCAACTCCTGTAATTATAACTTTTTTATTAACTAACTTTACTTGTACATTTGAAATCTATAATAAATCCATGAGTTGACCTGATGATCCCCTTTAATATTATAGCAAAGAAAACCAAAGCAGTTCTACTCTGTAACACATAGGGTTACCATGATTTGGAAATTACTTGAGGACAGCAATGGGCCCTGATGTAGCACTGTAGAATAAGCATTGAAAGCTAACTGCAAGGTCAACAGTTCTAACCCAGTCACAACTGAAAACCTTACAAAGGGTTACTATAAGTCTGAACTGACTCAGTGGCACCAAATAATAACAACAACAACAAGACAACATAAAGAAAGCTGAGACAAAAGAAAATGCAATAAGGAAAGGCTGAGGCCCACTGGCTTCCACGTCTGTTGATAGTCTTGAATTGCCATAGAGAAAGACACAACCTAATTAACTAGGACTGATTAAGCTGAAACAAACTATCTGACTTTCAAAAAAGCTTATTTATTGTGAATGCAGGATTTTGAAAAGACTTAATTTTTTTTTACCCATATTTTGTGAAAGGTAAAATGGAAGTCTCATGAATTACTCATTGCTAGAGTTCATATTCTGATCAATGATTTGCTCTTTCGTATATATGACTCATCATGTACATTCCTGAGATGTCTGAAAATTGATTTTTTAAAATATTCAATATGACATTAATATGGAACACTCATTTTAATTTCATTACAAAATTGGAGGTGCTGTCTGTGGAGAAACATATTGGCCCTAAGATATAATAAAATTGCATTTATGAATGTAGTAAATCTCTTTAAAAATACACATGGGAAAGTTGTGTCTCCATGTAACTTTTAAGTAACTTTTTACAGTACCTAGATTTATATGACATTTTTGCATTTGATCAATTTTACTAAATAATATTATAACAATTTCAATTTAATTAAATGTCAAGTTATTAAAAATTCACTGAACTTCTACTATGCTCTTTAATATTTGAAAGCAAAACAGAGTAGCATTCTACTTGTTCAGACAACATTTCTTAACAATTTGTAATATCCGCTTGCTATTTGAACTTCAACTGTACTGAAGGGTAGACATGAATTACATCCAGAGTAAGAAATTAAAAAAAACACAACACACTAACAAATGTGACTAGAAAACTGTATTCTCATGTTTTTGTAATCATGCAAATGTAAGTAAAATGGGGAAGAAGACATATTTCTAGGAAAATAAAACTAAGGTGAATTACTAAATTCTACAAATTCAGCTTTACATGACAAAGAAGGGTAGAAATTGTGAGACATCTTCTCCACACCTCACTTACTGTGTATTTGATCAGACTTGTTATTAATACTCCAGAATCCTTCCTCAACTTTTATATTATTACTTAAAACCTTTATACTAGAAATAAAGATTAACATAGCATACTCATTTATCAATGAAATCTATGGGCCTCGATATTGGGTACTTTTAGAATACAGAAACCTGATTTCCATGTTGTGAATAATTTTAAGAGATAAGATTGTTATGAATTATAAATCCATAAATTGTGAATTATGCTATTTAAGATGAAACAAAGAAAAGACGGAGGATGGCATAGAATTTGATAGTATTTCATTCTGTTGTATATAAGGTCACCGTGAGGCAAAACCAACTTGATGGTTTCTAACAATAACAGCAGCATGTCAAGGTTTAGCATTAAAAGAAATGTTTTAAATAATTTTCAACATCAATTTTAATAAAACACAGGTAAAATGTGCTCTGCCGTAAAAATTACTATAATTTGTCCTAGAAAGAAACCAAATTTGGAAAACTAAAAGGGAGACAAATTGTCTCTGTACTCAGGATGTAAGAATGTTCTTTGCTTTCAACCACTGGTAATACAAGGGCCTTAGTGTAGTCCTTGAAAGTTTTATTTCAAGTTCTTAAACAAAGACTGATCTGGATAAGAGATCATTATTCTCATGCACCTGTGATTGGATAAACACATGCATGTGTGAGTAGGTATCTGTGTGTAGGCATGTGCAATCCAGTGTTTTGTGTTCACATGGTATTAGAAAAGCAGTGTATATATGCAGAGCATATATGCATCAAGCATGAAATATTTAGGGAAATGAAGTTAAAGTTAATGCCTTGTCTTTTTGTTCTCCCTTCTAGCACCTAACACAGTTATTATTTCAACACTCAAAATCGAGGGATGAACATAATGTTCATGGACATTATTTAGAACAATGACCTCCTCTTCCAGAGCTAACATTCATCACCATCCACTCAAGACACTGTTCCTCCAAATGGGAGTGTGACAAAGGAGGTTTGGGGCGTTCTTCAATAGAGGCCTGGAATCCTATTTACCATCCATGTAGTCTCAGACCTATTCCAGGGCTCCAAATCAGAACTGGCCCATGAAAATCAAGTGAAACCTAGATGGTTTTCTAAGCACAAACACATACCAAACCGGTCTCTGATCTGTATACAGAGGAATTCCAAATAAGGAAACTGACCCATAGAATTCTTCTTCCCTTGAAGTATCGATATTTTTTCAAGCCTGTAATGAGTATCCTGCAAAAGCATAAGATGAAGAGTCCACAGAAGAAGGTCACAAAGGAGGAGAGAGTAATAGCTAATTGGATCTCAAATGTACAGGCCATTTTTTGTTTTTCACTCTTTCCCAAATTTCCTTATGTGGCTTCACTCAGAATACAAGAAATGGAATGGTTGGGCTTTTATGATGTCATGACCACACGTAATGATTCCAGGAATTAAAGTTGATTACATTACAGTGTACTAATACCAGCTATAGCAACCCATAGTTCCAGGAATGAGTGTCTGCTAACTATAGCAGTGCTGAGTTATTAGCTTTCATATTAGTGAAGAATGGTAAAACTAGGGCCCACCACTTGGGAAATCAGAAGAGAGAATATCAGATCTGATTCTATTACTGCCTCTCTCTATGGCCTTATGGAAATAACATCCTTTGTGGCTATGTTCAAGGTCCCTGGGTGGCACTGAAGGTTTGTACTTTATAACTAATCTAAAGGTTGTCAAATCAAACCCACTTAGTAGCTCTGTGGAAGAAAACCTTGGTATTGATTGGCTTCCATAAAGATTACAGCCAAGAAAACCATAAGGGACAATTTTATTATGTCGTACATGGGGTTGCCATGACTTGGAATCAACTCAGTATCAACAAATTTGTGGTTTTGTTTTGTTTTGGTGGCTGTGTCTTTGTTTTATTCCGTCAAACAGTTTAAAACAACAGTCTAAGTGAAATGATTATCAATCATCTGTGTGCCAATGAGTTGTTGCTTCACTCACAACTTCAGTAATTTTGCAAGACAGACGAGAAAAGTATATTACATTTGAAAAACCTGTTAATCCCTTAAATAAGAAAGATACTCTATATATTGCTGATATTGAAGGAAGTGTGATGTTAGTAGTGGGGTTATAGGTTAATTGTAATTAGAGCCAATGAATCTATCTTCTTATCTCTTCTTTACAGGTCCCTCCCCTTGTTTTTATTCCTGCCCTGTGTGTAAACCTGCTGAGTCAGAGTTCAGAAGGAGAGTGATTTTCTTTCTCTGATGTTTTCAAAGGTATGAGAAATGTCAGTTGTAGCGGTGGCAGGCAAAATGTTAGAGACACTGGTGGCCTAATTCACCCCAGTTATTATGAAGATGACATGACATGAGGTGAGGACACCCAAGAGAAATTATGTTATCCTTTGGCGCCTGCCATGATTCTGTTCTGTGTGGAAGACGATTTCTAAAAGATAACTATAGCATTTTCTAGAACCGCTACCATGGTTGTGTTTACTTCCTTTAAGCTTACCTAAAATTTCCACAAAATCTGTTATGGGACTTTGGATTAACTAGATGGGACAATACTGTATGAACTATTGTCTAGGAGTTAAAAGTCTTGAGTTTTAACACGAATCCTTCTATAAAACAATTATGTGATATATAAATGCCTTTCATAGTACTGTGTTGAAGATTTTCACGAAAGTTTCTGTTGAGTAGATTTCTGCTTATGGCAAATTCAAGAATTTTATAATATTTTATTGAGTTGTTGGTGAAAGTTTGCACAGCAGGTTAGGTTCCCATTCGACAATTTTCACTAAGTTGTTCAGTAACATTTATCACAGTGTGTCAACATTCTCTTTAATTGTGTTTTGTATGTTCTATTTCCACTACTCCAGTTTTCCTTCTTTTTCTTCTCATCTTTGCTTTTAAGTAATTGTTGATTTTTTGGTTTCAGAACCATGTTTTTAAATAGAGCATGAATTTTATAAGTAATATCCTTATTTAGTGTGTCATTCTACTACTTTGCAAAAAGGTGATGTCATGGCATAGGTTTGGTTTAAGGAATGTCTTAGGGAGTCCTCTTTCTCTACTGTTCTGTTTATATAATATTTTGTTTTGTTTTTAATTTTTTAAATAAGAATTTGAGTTTTACTTCACATTTTTGTCCCATTCTATCTGGAACCACCTATTGTGTCTCAGTAAGAATGGTCAGTGGAGGTAGCCTGTTACCATCTAGTTCTGAACTCAGGGTTATTAAGTTTGTGCTTCATGTAAACTTGTTTCTTTTTTGAGTTTTTGGTTGCCTTCTTACTATTTTTTCCTAGTGTCCGGGTGTGGTACTGTGTGTTAATGCACAGTCGTTTGAACCAGAAGGCCAGCGGTTCAAGCTCACCAGTCACTCCTCGAAAACCCTACACAGGGTCGCTATAGGTTGGAACTGACTCGACGGCACTTTACAACAACAAAAGACCCAGAGTTGTGTCTTAGATGGTCAGTCATTAGTGTTCAATATCTCATACACTACTCTTTTCACTGGGATGCAGATTATGATTTTTATGAACTATGTTATACTGAGTTGTCCCATGGGACTATTGTTCCAGCCTTTCACACCAAGAAGACCAATCTAAGAATGTTTCTTGGTTGTGTCTGTGAAGTCTTTGTGTCTCCAGTGAATATGAGCACTAGCATTCACATATATACAGGGATCCTGGTGTGGTGCTGTGAATTAGTGCACTGGACGGCAAAGTTGCTTTAAACCATGAGGTTGACAGTTCAAACTCACCAGCAGCTCCTTAGAATCCCTATACTGGGTCTCTATGGGTCAGAACTGACTTGACGGCACTTAAAAACAACAACAAATACATA